GGACCCACGCCTGACGTCCCTCCCCTCGGCCCTTCGTCCAACCCCACTGCAACCCCTTCCATGCCGGTCGTCGTTCGCGCGCAGAGTGTTATAGCGACGCCCAGCGCGTTCGTACCTACTCTATATCCACCGATACTACGTTCGCGTACACTCCTGCCACACGCACGCACTCGCGCATCGCACACGCTTTCCCATACACATTCATCCCCCACTGGAAGGCGGATGGTTTTGCTTTATAATAATTACACAAAATGACGAACGGGGTGCTAAAGCTTGTTGACCATCGTATAACACCGCATAAATGTACAGCGGCGCGTTCTCGCTTTCGGCCGTATATCGTTACGCAATGCTGTCTCTACTCCTGTGTTATAATTAATTAACTACACGCACCTAACGATTCCAATGCACTCATTGATCCACCCAATGAAATATCAATCTACTTTTACACCCCTTTAAACCCACCAGTACGAAATCATGCACCGTTACCCAGGTTAATTTTCAGCGAAAATTGGTCCATAAAATTGGCAAGAAATATTCTGGAAAATAAATTTTCTTTAAATAAACATACGATTTCGAGATGAAAAAATTTAATTTTTAGGATCATCTGTACATTTAACAATAGATGCCATTTACTATTTAATTATTGTATACGATATATATGTATATACAATTGAAAATATTTTTTAACTAAACCAACCTAACCTAACCTCGATATTCAAATATTCCTTTCGACGGCGTACTAGCTGTTGGCAAAGTTTGCAGCATCCAACTTGACCCTGGCCAAAGGCACAGCCAGTACGCAGCCAAGTGGTACCAAGTCAGCTGTAATTTCATGATATCAGTCTTGACGTTCGACCAGTGAAAGTTTCAACGTTGAACTCCGGCACGCAAGTGTCTCGAAATTACGTAAACGGTCGTATTCCGTATCGGATGCGCACCGCGCGAGATGCGTGAGCGTAAGGTGACCCAAGCTTTACTTTTCAGTCCTCGGTCCATGACGAGCAGCGTGAAAGTAGCGATATTGTTCCGCGCTCGTCCAACTGCTAGTAAATCGTATTTCGCAGGCCATTGACAACCCATTGCCCTAGGTCGTGGTTGTATACGTATAGATAGTTGAAAAATCGAAGAAAAACGTGTAAACTAAAATCAGCAGGAAATCCAGTCAGTTGACGTTTCCACGTGTGTAGAGCTACGGGGTAGGGTTCTGCCAACCAATTTTCAGGAGGTTCGCCTATATCTATCCAGATGCACATATAGGTATATGTACTCGGATTGATTCCGAATATACAAGACTGTTAATTGATACCGCGTCGGTGTTGGCAGGAATCGCATCCTGGGACCTGTAGCATTTTAACAGTAGTGCGAACGTGTCGTAAAACGTTTATGGCTCGAGTAAATACGTCGCTGCCATGGAAATAGCCTGATAACGAATTAAACACGGGTAATTGCCACGTCTGTTGATTTATTGCACCATAGGTGAGCAACTGGCACGTCACGTACTCGTTCATATTGTAATGCGATATATATATATATATATATATATATATATAGGCAGTAGGTAGTAGGTAATTCGAGGGGACGCCGATATACGTCCGACACGAAGTGTAGGTACAAGGAGGAATGATGAACTTGAGGTAATTTTATTGGCAGGTAGGGAGAGGATAATTGCGATACGGGGAAACGATTTTCCCGCAAAAGTCATTCGGCATTTGTCGAGGGTTCTCGAAAATTGTCGATCGCTCTAGGAGCTTCGAAAACAAAGAAAGTACAAGGCTAGAGGGGAATCGTGGAACCGGAAGGAACACAAGAGGCTGCACGGGAGGGTTGCGGATGGTGAATTCCGAGGAGTGGGAGAATTCGCGTAGACGTAGAAATGCGCGATCCGAGCGAAGTGCCACGATAAACCCGTTCGTAGGCGAGTGACGTATACATAGGCGAGCCATAGGAGGACGGCGCTCCGATCGATGGGACATTGGCGAACGGGGCAAGAAAGACAAACGGAAGAAGGGAAAAGGGAGAGAAAGAGGAAAGAGGAAGAAGGGAAGAAAGAGGGAAAAAAAGGAAGCAGTGGTATAACGCGGTACCTACTCCAGACGTCGCAGCGTAGCGACGACGTGGGGTAAAGCGAGCAAGCGGTGAAGCCAGTAGGAGCGAGAGAGACAGAGCGAGGGAGTGTAGAGTGGGAGGAAGAGAACAAGCAAGAGAGCCGGAGTGAGCAATGGGTTATGGGAGAAGAGAGAGAGAGAGAGAGAGAGAGAAGTGAAAAAGGAAAGGAAGAGTACACGGGGCCCCTAGCACCGGAGGAGCGGTGGTCATAATCGCGCAGACCGCGTCATAATCCGTGGCGAAAAACATTTGACGAGCGGCAACCTGGGAAAAAGGCAGCACTGGTGGGCGTGGTCGTATTTTAGCCCCGCCCACCACTGCGAGCCTCCTCCGTAAGAGTGGGGGACTCCGGTAAGGCCCTCTTGCGAGACTCGATCCCCGGCTGTCCCACGGTGGTGGGGATGTCGGGTTCACGTATACGGAGGGGCAAGGCAGGCCGGAGCGCGTAGTGGGGATAAGGTTCGTGTCTATAGCGGGAGGTAGAGCCAAGAGTGGGGATGGAGTATACACAGTCTCATGCCGCGGGGAAGGGATTTCCAAAGCAGGGTGGTAAGACCCTTCTCTGTATACGGGTCCACCCTGGTGGTGTGTGACGTAAAGGGGAGAGCGTGCGGGGGGCGGCGGAGGGGCGGGAGGGATGGAGAGTGATGGTCCTAGGAGTGGGGGAAGCCGCGACTAAGCCGAGATCAGCACGAAGCGCGGCGGTCGTGAATTGTTTTATTACCGAAGCCGCGCCGAACGCGGGGAGATATTCTGCCCGAGATATTTCGCGTTTTCTCTCGTATAATAGACGCTAAATAAGGTGCATCGTTTTGCGCGCGTACTGCCTTCGTAAACCATCGACTGTGAGCCCGTCGATCGCCGTTTGGGCCTCGGCTTCGGTTCCCGCCTTACGTTGACGACCTAGTCCCTACGTCACCGAGGATGTTCTTCGCTCTCCTTGGTACTGTCCGTCCTTGACGCGTTCGCTATCAGTCAAGTTTCACGCCGCCATTTTCTTTTTTTCTTTCCTTTCTTTTTTTCTTATTGGCAATCACGCGGCCATTACTTTCTCCGGTCTCATTCCCTTCCTGCACTCTACTGCCAGATCACCTACCTATGTACGAGCATA